ATAGAGTTTAAATAGGTATACAAAACTGGAAATAAGTAAATATGTAGCCTATAATATATAACCAAATAAATAAGAAACGTAGAACGTTTATTAGCAAAACGAGTAAGAAAGCAATTGCTTGAATGCAACAACCAAATACAACGTCAAACTCACTTTAGCGTATATATAAAACATAGAACTTTTATTAACAAAACAAATAAAAATACACCATGCTATAGGGCAAGCTATGCCTAATATAAAATAACATAACTTACATAAAGTTTTAATAGGTATACAAAACTGGAAATAAGTAAACATGTATAATATATAACCAAATAAATAAGAAACGTAGAACGTTTATTAGCAAAATGAATGTCAAATAAAATAAATGAATGACACAAAGTTTAAATAAAGTAAAAAATCAGCAAACAATGTGCATGGAACCAATTAAATAAGAAACTAATGTTTTAAAAAAACTTCCAAAATCACCTTAGATAAACGGCAAAAGTCAACAGGCTTTTCAAAATCCAAAATATTGCCAAACAGGCGCTTTTGCATTTCGTTTCGAAACTAAATCATCCGCGATCGTTTTGTCTGTCTCACCCCACTCTTCTTGTCAGTCAGCTCGACTCGCTCTCCTCACTGGATAAATTAAATCTGATCTGTGATGCTACTGTCGTTCGGCACGCTGCATTGAGCAGCCGCGTTCAGTTTTTAATTGTGTAGTGTCTGTTCTTTTACTGAATTAAATTGTTTTTATTACTATAAAAAAATCAAAACGACGGTGGGGGTCGGTGACGCGGTGGGCAAGTGACGTAACCGGTGTTGCGGCTAAACACCGGTATCACCTTCAGCACCGTCTATCGCGGCAAGCCTAGTCGTCACATGTGGTTGCCGCAAGCCCGCCGCCCGCTCCTCACTCTAGCTCACGATGCAACACACAACGCGTAAAAAGACAGTATAATTCATTATAATCCGTAATTATGTACATTTTGTGGAAAATAATGTGTTTTTTTAACCTTAAACCGCATTAACACATTTCATTACACCAAATACACAAAATAATGTTCTTTTTAGCAGCATCATATGACCCCTTTACAAATAATGCTCATTTGCAAAACTGCATCCACTGATAATTGAAGAATGAATAATAAAAGCAACAGAACATACACTCTAATCTATGAGTGACAGAAATCTGATAGAATTCTTTTAGCATTTAAAAATTATATATAGTTGTTGTTGCTGTTGTTTTTTTATTATTAAGAACAGATGCTTCCACATGTCCCTAAAGGGAGGTTCTCGAATTTAGTTCACTTCTGGGTACAAATTTATCTCTGAAATACAGCTTGCCCAAGCACACACACACACACATTTCCAGAGGTGTCTGAGTTTGCAGCTGTCACTAGACACACCAATATTAATTATCATTGTGTTGGTCTGACAGCTGAGAGCAGGGGTCTCCAGCCTTTAGCTTTACAGAAGAAAAGTACAAGCAAATCCACATTTGATATGACAGCTTGGAAAAGAAATTAAAATTATGATCATAAGGTGATATAAAAAGAAAGAAAACACCACCATTTTGGACACACTTGGTTTCTCGTGATCTTTAAACCCTTTTGAGCTGAAAGTTAATACTTGACGTTTGCTTAAAATTAGTTCTTTAGAAATGCAATTGTAATGTGAGACCATTTTTATTTATTTACTAAATACGTTATTAAATAAATAAATAACAAAAAGTTTATATTGTCGCATAATCCCCATAATTCCGATTGTTACATCATAGATTTGTTGTAAAATGTATTCAGAACATGAATACTACTGTTATAAAATGTTGTGGGAAAAGTGTTCAAACTTCTGACTGATATTATTTATTTAATATTTCACGTATCTATATGTGTTTGTGTATAGGCTACAGAAAGAGACATTGCAATAAAACTCGGGCAAACATAATTCAGATCAATATTACAATACACAAACACATCTGTCATACGGGTATAGAGACGTTTATTGAGTAAGTCTGTTATTGGACGCGAGTTTCTATTAGTCTTGAGTGACAAATGCAAGACTTAGCGAGACATTTATTATTAAACCCGTGATGACAGACAATCAATATGCAGGTGTTTGCTATTGTCCCAGACGTAGGTGAAGCCGTCTACGACAGACAAATTTATTGACTTACATGCGGGTTTTGCTGCGTGATAATCCGGTTACGGCCTCCTGCAGTCTGTCAGGTGAAATGAAACGGCGGCGCTCGGAGGATGTTGGTGAGTAAAAAAGGTCTCGTGCGTTGAGAGCGGCAGACGAGTTTAGCGCTGTGACTTGATGAAAGGCCAGATTCACAAAACAACGCACATTTTTAAGCGAAACCACGTACATCACTGTCAGTACTACTTCTTTTTTTCTAAATTAAGTTATTATAATTCGTTTCTAAACAAACACACCTGATTTTATGTAAATGAGGCGTATTACTGAACGCGATTCAAACTGTGTTGAGCGCGAAATTTCTACTGATACTTCAACGGTCGTCGTGATATGACGTCACGCTCTGTGGCGCCTAATTTTAAAACACAAATTCGACGTATAATAAATAATAATATAATATAAATAATAATAATAATAAAATATAAAATTTTCTCCACTTTCCTGCAACACTTTTAAAGTTTGTATTCTTTTAATTTAGATAATAGGTCATGCCATAACCTATATAGATCTTCTGTCAGTCACACGTCTTCACTTAAAGGGGTCATATGATGCTGCTAAAGTAGTTTCGCTTTCACAACGAAACACACGGCGGCCTAGCGTGAACGGAAGCCGCGGCCTAGCGTGAGCTGAGTCCGGGCTAGAGTGAGCAGAGGTGCGGGCTTGAGAACGGCGCGGCCGGCGAATTCGACGAAGGAGCAGCAACCACATGTGACGACCCCGTGCTGGACTCCGCTTCGTTTACAGTGAAAGCCGATCCGGCGATCCACAGCGCAAAGTTGATGTATTTC